TAGAAATAATCAGCTCAAAAGACCTTATATCAGTACGAGCGTGTTGTGTTTAGTTGTTGCTTTATAATTATTATATAATTTGTATGTAATAGTTATTAAAATCAATTGCTTAGTTCTTTAATTAAATGAGAATATAAGGTTATTGACTAAATATGAAGTTGAGAGTCATGCTTCAGTAAGTTAATCGTGACTAAATTGAAACGATCTAGTGCGTTGAATGAAACTGAGCTTCGAGTTACCGTTGGAGTGGTGATCGACCTTTGCAGCTCCGTCACCTTCGCAGCAGCCGCCAGTGTTGGCATTGTCGCCTCGACGCCAATAGGAAGCAGCGCGGCCGCAGATCGCTATTGGGCTTAAGGCCATTTTCAATGCACCATCTTTTACCTTGTGCCCCTTACTGTGTAGAATGACCCGAAATCGACTTCGGCGGTTGTAGAGCGAGACGAAGATCTCCATATATCTTGCTTTATCACCCAATTTTTTGCAAGATAATTTGTAACCCGTTTTATCATCGCAGACCTCATTTATTTACATGTATGTCTGGCAGTCAATTATCTAAAACGAAACGTGTGCAGATATAGCATTGATTCTGTTAACCAGAGTGCCATGTAAACGATTGCCCTACAAATATACTCGTATAATACACACGTAGGCCTTGCCCAATTTTTTTCAAATGCCACTCTTTTCCCATGTAGGTCAAATGCATTACGATGTCAAAATTGACCCGGTTCTTTTTGTGCTTAGAAGAAGGTTTTTTGAAAGTTTTAAAATGAAAACAATGATATAACGTTTGTGAATAAGTCAGAGATTGTTTTAGGAAACATTTACTTTTTAATTATATAAATCGTACCTGTTCCAATTAGCAACTCCCAGACACATAGTGATTAACGAATTGTTAAGATGTAGGAAAGTAGAACGGGGGCATCAATTTCAAGGTCGGACGTAGCTGAACAAATTTATTTTGAACGGTCAAATTCAGCGGTAACATCAAAACACCTTGGAGAAATACATCCTGTGCGACATACGGACGGTGGATATTATCGAGGTCATCACACTATTCGAATAGCCCTGATAATTAAAACTGACTAGACAGCCTCAATTTGTGGCAATAAAGAAATATTCTGATTCCTCAAATGCTTTATACATGCAGATGCTTTTAGAAAATGCCAGCTTAAAAAAGAACTGATACTGGTGAGTCTTCCTCAAGTACGAAAATGCCTGGAAGGTAAGGCTCCATCTTGTCAACTTAACGAAAATAATAATGTATAAATGCATAAATGCAAAGTCTATGGTATAAATCGACTTTTTCGTAATTGACGGACGATTTATATCGTTTTTGTCTAGTGTTTCTTAATATACGCACGGTGCGCATACGAAGACTGAAAGTGTACGTCCGCCTGGTTGTGTGCGCGGCCTCAACCGAGTTTTGTCTATGCTTTCTCGAGCGGCGAACCGGGTCGCGTTCTCGATGCCCCGTGCTGAGCTGCTTCGTACCAACTGCTGCCAGAGTCTCGACGAGCTTGACACACGCACACCAACGCACAGCTCTACCATCTACATGCACACCCACATCTAACCGAGATGTATTGTGTCAGGGCTAGTAAATAATTTTAATAAACGCGCCAAGCGAGGAGAACTCGCAATAAGAATATTTCAACCTACCGTAGATAGTTTATACTGAACAGTAAGTACTTGGTAAATTGCAAAAAGGAGGGCACAGCTACATTTGCATATTTTAAGGTTAAAGGTAAAGATAGACTTTACCTGTAGGTGTGGACAGATAACTTGGCCGCAAGATGTGGGATAAATGTACTTTTAATACTTGATGTTTTTTATTCAAATTAGTCATTATAAATTATTGTATTATTCAAGATTATTTAAAATGACCCCGCTTGTGTAATAGCTTGTGTTTGCTAAACAAAGCGCAAGGTTTTAATGTTGTTCCGGCTTTGCGTACCATGTAGATGTGCTGATACTTTCAGCCTTGTCGTCTCCTTGCCGATATGTAATCCTTCTGGATGCAGCGTGATTCTTACATTATAACTGATTTCAGTGAGCACTGTCGAGGCGGTTGAAGCTATAAAGTATTGCAACGAGGTGATATTACACTACCTGGTAATTAAAATAACTACAAAATAAAACATCTATCGGATTTCTGAATGACCATCAAAATTGTTAAATAAAATTAAAGGCAATCGACAGTGACGACCCTCGTCAGTGTAGGAAGTAGGGTCATGCAATTTATATTAGGCTGAAGTCAAGGTCTTCCAATCATTTTGGCCATCTAGTAATTCATAGGACAATAAAAGTTGAGGCCGAATCATTTCAGCCTTCTTTGTCACTTTGTAATGAGTCAAAAGGACTTTGCAAGTTTCCTGGTGAAATAATTGTCGACTAGCATTAGAGTAAATAAATACGCACATCGCATTTATAACATTATTTTCTAATCTATATTATCTATTTGCGATTGCATATTCATGGTAAAACAATGTAGAACTCGTAGGGCCGAGGTGGCACAGTTTCTTGTTTGAGTTATAAATCAATCTGTCCTAGTTAGATTAGCGTCTGCATGTGCTACACCGTCATCGATGTCTTCGCTTTCCAAAGGCGCTGTTGCCAAATACTGTTGGTGTATGGTGGCTGGCGCATGGCGGGGCTTGTTGCGTGGACCGTGTATCAGTTTCATTCCGTTTCCCATTCGCCCACCTTTGCGTGCGTTCTTACATAACCGGCTTCGCAAACTCCTGCTCACGTCACTCTTTGTATTTAAAACGTGTTAAGTGTCGTTGTAATCATTTCAAAATGATTTCCCCGAGAAGTAACTTTCACGCTATATTTGGAACTGTTGTTAAGTTGATGTGATTATTTTTGGCGATATTCTTATTGATTATAAGTGTTTTTAGAATAATTAACTTCAATATATTTCTCTTTGATTTTGTAACAACTATCAGTGGTTGAATATTAATGTTTATAATTCGCTCTGCTATAAATAAGTAAATGGATTTACAACGTAACGGTAGCAAGAAAAACCGCTTCAGTGTTCACATGCGAGGCATTCTGTTTGATTCAGAATTGGCCGTTCGTCCTCGGCCTCGCTCTACCGCTTCCGCCTTACAGCTTATCCTCGCGTTGTGCCCATGATAATCTTTTGTACTATGAGCCTTGATCCTAGGTCTCTTCCTAAGTAACCTCACTCGTCTATTTAATACTATAACAATATTGTCATTTCCTTTCTAGGTATAATCAGCAAACCGCGCGCTCCTCTTCGTTGAAGTACGTAATATTTTTAATTCTTTTATTTATCTTTAACAACTCTTTGGGTATACATTTTATTTAACATTAAGTTTTATTTTGGAATCCAATCTTGGTTGCATAAAGGGCCATGTAACAATCTTGTTAAATTGTCTTAAACATAATTTAAGATATCATAGATCGTGAATAGATCGTTTAAGTCACAGGAAAAATATGGTTTAAAAAGGTTAGTAATGTATCGATTTTCATCATTTGCAATATCCATGTGAACAGTTTCAATAATAACGTTGGTTTTATTGTGCCACGTGCAAACAGGTAGGCGTGAGTGCGTCTACGTCACAGCCCAGCCTATGAAGGTCATGACGTAACGACGTAGTCTCACCATTATTCAGTTTGTCGATCCATCGCTCGATTCTTCACGAGGCCAAACGTTCTATTACTCGACAGCAGAGGTTATGCGCGCTTTTATAATTCTGTCTCGTTTCCTTAACTTCAAGACCGTTGGCGGGCGGCAGTGGCTCCCGACATTAAAGCCTAATAGCAGTCTGATTTACAACCAGGAAATGTACAGTCACTTCGTAGCAACGCGACACGAGTGATCATACCAATAATTCTGCAAGTACATCTTTGTTATGTCATAATATTCTAGTGTGAATGAAGTTAACACATAAAGTGAAATATTCCGTAGCGGATAACTTTCGTAATATTTGTGTTTAAGAAGCGCTCGCTGATATCGCTCTGGAACTTCGCCAAGTCTTGCCGATGCAGCGCTCTGGAGAAGGTCTGGATTCTAATATAAACACAAGAGATTTAATTTGTTACTAATTGTTCTTTTGATATTCTTCTGCCATGACCTTTACATTTACTTTGAAATGGTCTTCAGCTTTTTGCGGATGCTATGGACCTAATGTGACTAGTAAATTATTCATAACAACCTGTTGATACTTCATAATTAATTCAAATGATATTGTATATTGTTGTTTCACAAATTATTATTGTTAGAGTTCTTTAACAGATTCCGTTATGAAACCTTCATAGAACACAAACCTCCGTTCTTATACGACTTAATTTTTGTTTTAACGTTTTCGTCGTGATCCTAGTGAGCTCATGTTCTGCAATTGTTTTGCGGAAATCGTTGCTGTAGATTATACTAACTTATCCGATAAAGTTTGAAATAGGATGTTGTCTATTCTCGAAAGAATTGCTATTGGTGACTTTCATTGATTAATTTTATCTTTCAATGTCAGAACGATAAAGCTTCGTTCAAACAATCGCGATACGGTCTCTTGGTACAATATCGCTATTTGTCTTCGCATATAGCTGTGCAAATTTTGCTTGCGCAGTTTTGTTGGCCAAATTACAATATATCATGCAGTCATCGGTTTACCTTGCAATAGTGTTGTGTACATGCACTTATCATTACACAATTAGCACCTATAACTTCATAACTTAGTACTAATCATTTTTTTATTAGAATATGCATGTATGGTTTGAAATGTCTTTTGACTATTTCGTTGGTGCCCCTATTGCAGTTGTTACCTCATTTATTTTATTGTTGACCTTCATTAATTTCATTATGTCATATTATCTAATATTGATTTGATCAGACTTCCTGGTTCCATCAGTTTTCAACCATAAAAGATACTGTTATTATATGATATAGATTGTATATATAATACACGTACATAGAGCGAGATATAAGTAGTTGGTTGCGGAAGGCTTAGTGTTTTATACTATCGCAATTACAACTTCTTTAGTATCATTTATACTCAGCATGTACTGAATAAATGTTCGTAATCTTTCGGCTAACATTTTATACGATAATGGTTTAATTATGTATTATGTTCTGATGGCACCCATACTCATTGTCGATATTAGTGATAAGCTAGCATATTCGTTTTCCTGTTTTTATTACATCGATATGTTATGTAGCTTCCTTATTAGTATCTCTATTTTTAACGTTTGGCCCTGAAAATCAAATAAGCGACTGATATGTAAAACTATAGTTGTTTATGATATCATGCGTTTTATTACATTTGTAAAACATATTTCGTCACGTACAGAATTTACAGTATTGGAGCGACATGACGTAGCCGTAGCGGTGCGTAGCTCTCGGATTTCTCTCGTGCCCAAATTGACATGTAGTACAAATGATACGTGATTATCGAGCTCTACTTACGGCATATTCCTTAATTGTCATGTTGCCACACGTACGGCCATCATCTATTGAGATGACGTAGCGTCGGAGCCCGGTCACCTTGCGCGTCCTCGCACATCGCGGACAAATAAAGGTGGTGAGCATTCAGTTCCGCGTTCGCATACTCGCTCCAACTGCGAAATATTATAATTACGTAACATCGCTTTAAATTATCACCTCCAATAATTACAATATTCATCACCTTCCCTCGTTCGTCATACAAATCTCAACCTAATGACCGTCGGTTTATCACATAGTTGACCAGCATGTTTGTTGTTCTTATCATCACAAAGACGTGTTAATGTTATTGTCACCGAGTTTACAAAATTGGTTCTTAAACGCGTCTACAATATTATACATTTCATTATGAGTGTAGTCAACAAAGGCGAATAATAACAAATAATGTGAAGCGCGACCGGGGACTACGGCTAACGTTCAACTGCCAGCTGTTTTAACAGTGACACTTACTGCTAAGGGCATAAGAGTCATTTTTGTGATGTGCTATTTATAGTTGTTTGTAGTGTCTCTTCAACCCCTCTGACTATTGATGCTGTGGGGTATAGCTATCCCTTTTCCACTCCATCTTCCCTTTCTACCCCACGTAGCGGCGGAGATAACCGGACGAAATTGAAGTAATATTTTATGGACTTATACTTTGTAGAACATGCACTTCCACAAGTCATTTGTGTATCGTCGCTTGAAGAGGTTTCACTGTTTACTTTCCCATATTGCGTATAATGTTACACAAGGCCTGGTTGCAAAATCGCTTTGGGGTTGGGTTGCATGCGACATATTGAACACTTTTTCTTTAAGTTAAACAATGGTTCGACTTGTTAAAGAACATACAAGATTTCGAGGTCTCTTTATAAACTTAGTTCACTGACAATGGCTCAGTGAAAGTCGCAAACATTTCGATTGTCAGTACATTTAAAAGGTTACATGGTTTCGGTCACAGTAAACTAATTACGTGTCAATAAAATGTGGTTATTTGACTCTGAACTCGGTGTCGCTTGTTTTATTGTTATATTTACAACGTTGGAGACGATGACGGTGGCCGCAACCTTGAATATATCATGTATTTGATTATAGTATACGTCATGTTGTATTTCAGCCGACTCATTAGCACATATGCCTAAAATATTACACAAAACAATTGGTTAGTTTATTCTCTATCATATATTCACTGATAAAAAAATCCTTGAAGAAAAATATTTTGTATTATTTTGGCTATTTTCCAATTGTAATTGCACTGAATATACATACTTAGATGTGAACAATTTCCACAAAGAATGTGTAAGACATAGATAAAGCTAACGATTAACCTGGTACGAAAGACCTTCAATCACAGTCAATATTTTATTTCTCATAAAACCTTGCTCGATTTTCACTGAACACATTTGTCCTATGTAAAGAGGTCGAGTGTTAGAAACAAATATGTATTTCTTAGTTATGTTTGCTATGGCTAATAATAACGTTTATAACTAACGCAAATACATACGTCTAGGCAAATACGCCGCATATTTATGTAGCCAATAATATAGACATAAACAATTACTTTACACAATATATCACGTACTCATAAAGAATGATAGTTACTAGTTTATCTACCATCGTTCGTCGGTCAGTTTACGAGCGTATTCACCGCAGACGGCTTTGAGCAGCCTGACCGCAACTTCGTCAGAATCTAGAACGAGCGGAATTATGTTTTGCTTTTAATTTCATACACTGCTATAGCAAGACCCTAGTTCCAAAGCCGTGCAAAGACTCGCTCCGTTCCTTTTCCACCCTACCTCCTGAACGTGAAAATCGATACCATTTTCATCGCAGTCTACTGCAACTTACAATTGAATCTCTTTAACTTCTCTTTTTAACATTATCGAAGTATTTAAACGTATATGTAAATGTTTGTATGAACAAACACCACGTTTCCTTTGTCAGTAATTACTCAACATTGAAGATGGCCATACCGCTTCCACCGAAATTAGGTTTGGTTATTTGGAACACTAGATGTTTGTTGTAACGCCTAAGTAACCTCGACATCTGTACTTGTTGCGTCACCACCGGACATGATACAATACCTCTATTATTAAAATGTCACAGCGCATAGAATCGTTTACTTTGTGTACAAGACGAGGCGACCTCGTATCCACGAACCGTCTTCAATCCGATGCAGACCAGTCTTCTATAGAAAAACTGGCACGAAATCAATAGTATGGAATTTAACGCCCTCTTTCTGGCTCTTATTGTGCATAGTTATATCTTAAAATCGTTTATGCTTATTTTATATGCAGACTAGAGTAAATATCAACAAGTATTATCCTGTAGACCTAATATGGTTCTAAACTATTCCATCTATGAATATTGCAAACAGTTTCTTATTGTTATTGTCATATTGTTTTGCCCAACAAAAGCGTGTGCAACGTTTATAACGATGCAGATATCGTAGGACTATTGCTCGCCGTAAACAAGCCGTCCTTCAGATCCCAGTCGAGGACCCTATAATGTCGGGTCGTCCTCAGGGCGTCTGAGTCACAACACGCAGTCATCGTTAAGAGGGCATTGCTCACTTGGTTACTCCCCCCTTGGCACGCCCGCTGCATCAGCGAACCACCGTTTGTAAAATAAAACCAGTCACATGCGTATCAGAACATTCATTGTTCTATCGTCCTTATTCCGATTCCATTGTCTCGACAAGCGTCCGCCATTATTATTATTGATTGCAAATTTATGGCTATACAGCCTTATTGTGAACCTTTCAGGGCTTAACATATATAGGACATGTACGACTAATTGTAAATAACAATGTAATGAGCACGGAAAACCACAGCGTTTATTATTTAAGCTAAAATCTAAATATATGTTATAATAATAACGTAGCCTTAATTCTATGTTAACATATTCTCGCTGAATATTATTTTACACGCGTATAAATTAGGAATAATAATTGAAATTAATTGTGTAGGAAAATGTCAGCGCTGTAACTACGCCATGATTGTATTGCAATGTTTCTTTGTCATACTAATTTATGTAGGTTTCTATTTTTAAAACTAAATTAATTAAATTAATACGCATACGTGACAATCTGTTAATGGAAATTCAGAGTCCATGACATGAGAGAAACTGATTTTATACTGTGTCGAACGTCTCCGCTAAGGTACCAATAATTCAATCAACTAAGAACGACGGAGTCCCCATTCCCTGTTTTTATGGCACCTACTTACGGCTTGAGATTTACCAACCGATCCCAATAATGTAGTGAAACGACGTCGAGAGAACTTAAATATAGATGAGGATGCAAGCTGGTCGGGTGACATCTATAATAAGACCACGGGAGACCGATGATACGTACCTACTACGTAGATTGCTCAACATTTCACGGGTTGTTGACTTCTTCATTTTAATATAAAAGGTATTTAATTCAGTCACCTATACAATTTTTACAAATAAAATGAGATTGTTGTATCGTTGGCAATAAAAATCATCAAATATTCCATTACATTTACCTAAGACTCGTTTAACAAATAGCTAGCAATATTTGTATTTAAATGATGACTAAAAATAATATTTGTTATAGAATTGAATTAAGATGTTGGGTAGTAAATTCAATTAACTATCTTGAGAAACTTTAGAATTTCATAATTTAGATTAAATGAAGATTAATTAGTTTGTATAAAAAAAACATTATTAGTAATATCGGTAAAATAGATGAAAGGCGCTTACATGCTCAAATAACGCTATTTAAATAATAAATCTGTCTTGACAAAAACGCTATCATTTACGATACAATGGTTTTTTGTGTCGTTACCCTGGTGGTCCCACCGGTGGGTGGTCTACCGCAAGGGCCATCCGGCCACACCGCAACCTTTCCATCAATATCCTACGAATCAAAGTGAAATCCTACTCGTCTTACACTGAATGCGTCACATGGGCACCGCAGATTATGGCAACATTTTAAATGTAGGCCAAAAGCAATAGATGAGTTGATATGATGATTCACCTATTGTTAATCGTCATAGGAGCGGTTTACTGAAGCTGAATGTAGGTCGGTCGGGCCGCTCCATTTGCTACAGTGGCAAATTGTTGATCGACCTCGGAGTGATCGTTGCGCGTACGATATCTTATCTACAGCCCAATAGAATGAAAAACTTATCCACCTATTAAAAGTTGACATGAAACAAATATTTAATCTAAAATGTGTAATGCTCTGCTGAAATGTTTGACTAGTGATTTCAAATAGTAAATCTTTGTTGATTTCATCATGACTTCATGACACATTTTTATTTTATGTTTTGCAACGTTTCTATCTAGTCGAATTTATAGGAATTAGTAACTAGGGGAAATCTTTGAGTGAAATAGCTAATTTAAAAGGTGTTAAAAATATTTGTCTTTTTCCACATCACATCACTTGTGAAGACTCGGCTCTCGGCTGTGAGTTTCTGGGTCGTGTCGATTAATTCACTTAGCCTACTTTTATTTAGTGCTGTGACACTTTTTTATGTTTGACATACTTCATTTCATTGCTCGAATGCAAACCAGAACTGTCCATTTTGTTCCAGCTATTACCCTGCTTTTTATTCGTTTTAAATTTTGTTTATTCATATTTTTCTCATCATCATTTATTACAATGATATGTTTTGGAGCAGTGTTTGTATTAATTAAGTGATAACAATCTGTTTGGGTTGGTTAATGTTTCACAACGGAATGACCATGTAGTTCGTCAGGAATCTAGGATACGCTGTCATCGCTGTCATGACTGTCATGACTTTGTTTGTCGTAGTAAACCACGTTATTATAAACTTTGGTTTCATCGAGATTGTAAAATATGGTGTGTGTGTGCAGATGTCCGCTAGAGGAGGCTAGTAATAAAAAGTAATTCATTGGTTCTTTGTTGCTAATTAACTTTGTTAACACTTTTGTCTTCGTTTCAA